CACAACTGCTCTGTTTTCGAAGAGATTTCAAACTAATTGTTGAAAAATGTGCTCTTATATTTTTCTGACCCTGAAAAAAATACAAAAACAACTTGTACTTCATGGCTGTTATGACTGGCTCTGTTAAAAGCTATAAAATAGGAGTGTTGCAGCCTATTATGTTAATAATTCAGTAGTCTACTGAGTGTTTTGATGAGGATTTCAGTAATAAGAGTTTTTAAAAAAGCCCAAACAATAAGAATTGTCTTAACTGAACAAGAACAAGTCATGCAAACACTTTCAAATCTGCCTAAATAGTGTACTGTAAAAGACTTAATTACAAAAGGAAATAGAAAAACACTATGTGCGTACATCCTTCAAGCTCTGTTCCTCAGTAAGAGAAGACAGTAGAACAATTTCGAATGTGTTCTCATAATGCAAGTTACCAACTCATCACTGCCCATTCATCGAAAAAATTAAGTTTTAATCAGTGTTTTTAATCAAGTATTCACCTGTTTGAGTAATCATGACAGCCCTACTTTAAATGCTTGACTGTACTGTGGTGGAGGTATTACTGAAAGAAACAGACACGCCTAGTAAAAGGAAGTCTGCACTTTTTAAACTCTAGCCTTTAATTCTCACAGGTTTAGAGCAGAGAGCTGCTGCAGTTCTAATAAATCCAGTCACCACCACCATCTGTCTTCTGTTTCAGTGGAGGAAGTAGTGTGTGTGTGTGTTACACTGAAATGTATTAATGTCATGTCCTGGTAACGACTCACAGACAGCATCTCTTTGAAATGAGCACTTCAGCAGTTTTTGTGCTTGTAATAAGAAAAATCCAGTTTTTGTTAGAATCTTAGTAGTGGAAAATGTGAGCTCTTTCCAATAAATGTAGGCTCTTCTGCTCTGAATCAACATTTCTCTCGAAATAAAATGATTTCTCAATGCGTTTTTTCTAAAAAACATAAAAACAAAGCTGAAAATTCAGCTTTATTACGCAAATGCGTAATAATAATCTTCACACTTCAGTGGCATTTTAAGCTACATTCACACTGTCAGGTTGAAGTAGCGTAAGTCCATTGTTTTGCGTTGATGTGACACAGATCTGATGATTTTAGAACTGTATGGACACACAAGTCTGATTTTTTCAAATAAGATCTGATCCACTTTCATATGTGGTCCTAGACTGAATATATATCCAATTTGTGGCCTTGTAACCCTATTGAGAACGGCCAGATTGGAATTAGTGTGTTTTTTTTTTTCATCACTGTGCAGGCGCGTATCATCCTGTGCAGCTTAGCAGCTGTAAGTCCTTACTAGTAAATGCTGGAGAAGCATTAAAGCATCTGAGCTTTATTCACCTTTCCCCTTAATCATGAACAGCTGAGAGCTCATCAGAGCTAAAGATCTTTGCGATGACGGATTGTGCTGCTAGATCATTCATTTGTTGTTATTGCTGTTCATGACGTGGTTTTACTCAGGATTGGAATGAGGATCCAGGGACACTGCAGATCATGAGAGACCCTATTTTAAACACTGGGTATAGGGGTGGGTAGTATATTACAATACATAAAACATTTTTACAATACATACTGCACATCACATTGTTTTTTTCTGTGGCTTGAGTAGAGGAGGGTGGTTAATCCAGGCTAGTTTTGTCAAATAGTTACTGTAGGCTAGTGTTGTCAGACATATCAGTATATCGATTATGAAAATTTGAAATGGTACCAATACTCATTTTCTGCAGTATTCTTTCTTTCCATGTAAGCCATGCTTTCCTGCTCAATCTTTTATTTAGCACAGGCTAGCATACATACAGTATGTCTGCAGCTGCAGCCGCACCTCCTCTCGCTTACGGTGCAGGATGTTTTACTAAAATGGCAACTTTAGCCAGTTCACAGCTTTACAGACAATGAAAGCAAAGAAGTTGCTGTCTCGACATACTTTGGCTTCTGGGCAAGCCAGAGGAGTTAAGCAAGCCAATATGCTAAAGGTACTACAGACTACGGCCGGAGTGTGGACCACAAGTGGGCGGCGCACCCTCTGGTGGTCCTTGGGCCAGTAATGAGGAGGAGTCTGTGGTCCATAGTGGGCCAGTGATTGTTCTTAAACAGTAAACAGTATAAATACAGTAATGCAACAATGGTGCACAATCAACTTCATGTATTTTTGCCCCTTGTCTTTAGAAACAAAATGCACTGCCCTGAAGTTTCAGTTGTCCATTCGCGAGTGAAAAATGTAGCTTAATTACGCCTGATTTCAGGTATACAACAAGCTTATGCTCACCTAATCTGTTGACATTTCATGTCCAGTCATATACATAGCATGTTCTGCCACCAGAAAATGGCTGTATCGAAAATTTACCAAAAAAAATTCTTTTTTTTTTTGTCTTTTTTGTGGGCCTCCATGCTTTCTAGTGATAAAAAGGAAGACCTTAAGGTGGAAAAGGTTGAGAACCCCTGCTACAGACATTAGTACAAAATAATGTGAACACTTCCATACTGGTGAAACACCGAAAAGACCAACACACTCGCCTGTACAAAGAGTTTTGAGAGGCGTTGTGAAAGCTAAGCTAACGTGAAGCAACCGCAAAGTGTTCAGCAATGGCCTCGGCATTTATTTCAACAACTGAACACACATGGTGTTAACTGCCAGCATCAACCACTACTCATGGTTTCTGTATCAGTATTCATATTGGAAAAGAAAAACTTTGGCTTTGTATTTTGCCATTTTTTGCCAATGCGTATTGTGATGTAATTTATTACAGTAACGCAAAACTGATAAAACTCCGCCCACTCCCATTTGGTTATAATTTTGGTAAATTACTTGTTCAAAGCATTTCTATCAAAAATTCCACTTTTTTAATTGCTGGTTTCACATGGAGAACACCACTTTTATTTCAGAGCTTCTTACAGTGCTTTCTAAATTTCTGTGCCTGCACTTAAACACAGCGCCTAATTCAACACTGCCTTTTTAATGAGTCTGAAAATTCTAAGTGTGTGATTAATTATCACTGTCAGCGATATTAATTTCTGAAAGCTCTCAGATGACCAGAAAGCCCAGAGGCTGTTTGAAAATTAAGAGCAGACTTCTCTGAGAGCAGGAGTGATAACAATAGCGAGATTTATGGAGCCCATCACGGCCGTTTGGGGGGGGGAGTAACTGGCAGAAAGTAGGTGATGAAAGAGAGTGAGTGAAGGAGAGAAAGCAAAAGCAAGTGGTGAGAGAGAGAGGGTAGCCATCAGGGAGCGAGCTAAATTGCTTTGTGTTTTTCATGGCAGAGTTTGCCATCAGTACTAATTACCAACAGCTCTCAAAAGCGCATTTATATTTATGCTGCCATGAATTCTGTGTGCCTGTGTTATCTTGTGCCAGTGAAGCTTCTGTCTGATTGAGTTGTGTGTTTGGTTTTAGCTTGTTTGTTTGTTGTGTGAGGTGAGTTTGGTGGTGTGTTGCTTCCGTCTTCACTGTGACAGTGTAAATTTCACTGTTAAATTTTAGCCAAGCGAAGCATTAGGTTTGGTTTTTTTTCTGGACAGTCGCCTTTTTAGATACAGCATGTTTTGTTGATGTATTTAATAGTGATGCACCAGAATGACGAGACAGAAATCCAGGACCAGTTGTGGAAAATTCAGTTCCAGAAAGTAAAAATCCTCCCACATTTTTGTTTCAGCTGCCTTGCTGCTGGTTTGAGTTAATGAGAGAAAGCAGATGGAACAAAATCCTAGGGAGCATTTTTACTCTTTAAACCTGAACTGTCCACCTCAGTTCAGGACACACTGGGCCAAAAACTGAACAGAGCTAACAATAAATAAAAACAGTTTCCATAAAGTAAACTTACTAAGACAACTACTGTATAGGCTACAGTAGGTGCCAAGAAATGCAACATTCTCCACAACAAAGAATGGATCATCCAAGGCAATGCATTCTATTATTTTTTACTTATGTTTTGTGGTTTTGGGCTTGTTTGTGAAATATTTGATTTATTTGAAAAACTGAGACTACAAAAACAAACAAACAAACAAAAAAAAAACCTTACTCCTCAGTGGAACTAAGGGGCTGAGCCCGAACCCTGAAAAACCCCAGCCCCAGACCATTATCCCTCCTCAACCAAACTTTACTGTTGGCACTGTGCATTCCGGGGAGTAGTGTTCTCCTGGCATCCACCAAACTCAGATTCGACCATCAGACTCCCAGATTGAGAAGCATGATTCATCACTCCAGAGTCCAGTAGCAGTGTGTTTTACACCACTTAAGCCAACGCTTGGCATTGTTCATTGTGATTTTAGGCTTGTGTGCAGCAGCTCGGGCATGGAAACCCATTTCATGAAGCTCCCAGTGCACTGTTCTTGTGTTGATGTTGTTTCCAGTTTGAAATTCAGTAACAAGTGACGCAACAGAGGAGAGGCGATTTTCACACTACTGCAGCAGTCGATGCTGCTCTTTGCGGCTGAACTGTTGTTGCTCCTGGAAGCTTCTGTTTCACAATAATAGCACTTACAGTTGACCAGAGCAGATCTAGCAGGACAGTAACTTCACAAACTGACTTGTGGCAAAGATGGCATCCAGAAAGAGCCACATTTACAGTCTCTTCAGTATGACCCTACTGCCAGTGTTTGTCTTCGGAGATTGCATGTGCTTGATTTTATACATTATTAAGCAGTGAGTGTGGCTGAAACACCTGAACTCAATAATTGGGAGGGATGTCCACATAATTTGTCCATATGGTGTATCTGTCAGTACTAATATGGTTCCAGTATTATTGTGCACCCCTAAATAATAGTAATCATGCCTCTTGGATATATTGGGATATTAGAACTGTAGTTCTTATCATGCCCAGCATTATTGTTAATCTTAATATTAGTCTTTTACTTGAGTATTTTATACAGGATATTTAAGTATTAATTTGGGAACACAGTAAAATCATATTTGGGCTAATCGTATTTTAATTTGTGATATGGCACAGCCGCAACAGTTTATTTAACAGTCTCTCATGCTTTGCGCTATGTTTGTGTGTGCAGGACGTCTAACAGCAGTGCGACGCTGTCCTCATGCGTGTCGATGGAGCCGTGCGTCCCAGATGAACTCTTCCAGTCACACAGCCACGCGGAACACACCTTCAGACGAATGGAGACATACCTCAGGACCCGCAAGCTGTGTGATGTGGTCCTGCTGGCTGGAGATCGCCGAATACCTGCACACAGGTAACACACACTTTACACAGTTGAAACTACAGTTAATTTTGCACCCTGTTCTACATTGTGTATGCGTTGATGTACACGTATACATACATTTTTATTTATATATATATATATATATATTTATTATCTATTATGTAGTTACATTTTAATTTTAATTTTTGCATCACATGTAAAGTGTTGCTTGGCCACTGCTATGGTATCTAGGTGATTGCTAAGTTTGTGTTTGTGTGTCTTACGTCTGTGTTATGTTACACAACTTGGAACATGGCACTTTTTTTTCAGGTGAGCAAAGATTGCCCAGTCACACAGCTCTGAATAATCTACTTTAGGTTTAAGCTCTGGGTTTCACCTGTAAAGTGTACATTTGTTGTTATAAAGGATAAACCGACATGAAGACCAGAGAGCTGCCTGTGTTAGAAAAGTATGGCATTTTAAAGCTGAGAAAAAAGGGGAAAATTGATCAGACCCATCGCATAAGCGAAACGTGTAGCCAAAACAACAATTTGGAACATCCTGAAAAAGAAAGAAATCACTGGTGTACTAACAACCAGACATCAAACAGTTCGGCCAAGGAAAACAACAGCAGTTGGTGAAACATTGTGAAGAAAAGCCCAAAAACAACAGTCAGTGACATTGCCAAGAACCTCCACATAGCAGTAGTGAGGGTATCACAATACACCATTTGAAGAAAACCTTAGGAGTAGGAATAAAAAGGCCATTCCACAAAATGCAAAACACTCATCTGCAGTAGGATTGGAAGACCAGATTGGAATTCAAAAAGAAATACATGAGCCCCAAAAGTTCTCAAACATATTTTTAGAGACTGATAAGACCAAGATTAACCTGTACCAAAATGTGGAGAAAGAAAGAATCTGCTCAAAATCCAAAACCTATGAGCATATGAATGTCAAGCAAGGTGGAGGTAGTGTCAAGGCTTGGGCTTGCATGGCTGCTTCTGGAACAGGCTCACATATCTTTATTGATGATACAACTCATGATGTTAGCAGCTGAATTAATTCAGAAGTCTACAGAAACATTCTGCCTGTCAATTTACAGAGAGGTGTGTCCAGTAACTGCAAATAAACTTAAATACAGTACAAAGTAGCAAGTATGTTTTGTTTTTCGAAGTAGTTGATATCTTGTGACCTAGTCTGAAGAACAAAGTTTGATTCCAGATTTCTCCGGATTGCTCTCAGACATTGTATGGATTTGTTCATCGTTGGCACGCTTGATTTAACATAATTGTTAATTAGCCAAACCTAGTGTGGATAGTAGGATGAAAACTACAAATAATAGTGGGCTGCCAAGAGGAGAGGCTTGGAAATGGTTAAATGGACACATTGACATGCATTACAGCTGTGCTCAAAAAAGCTAGGCTGTGGTCCAGGTGGACTGCATTTCTAGACTGCTAGGCTGTTCCAATCAGAAAGATCCTTCTAATGGAGCCAAGAAACGCAGCCAACATTCTGATAGTTTTCAAGGATGCTACCAGAGTATTCTTGACAGTCTTCTGTTGCCCATAATCCTCACACACATTTGATCTGATTTAGGAGAAAGTTCAAGAGAAGCACTGACAGATAAAACCAACTCCTATAATTCGTTTAAAAAGGTCAGTACAAAATAAAGAAATATTTACAGTCTGCTGTGCTTCAACTGTGCAAACACAATAGGCTTCGACTCACAGGCCGCCAGTCATCCGCCGTTTGGTGTCTCACACAGATTCAAAAGTCTGATTTCTGAAGAAAACCTTATTCTGTATGCTCAATAAATAAAAACAGCGACAGAAATGAGCAAGTTAATGGTGTGATGTGATCGTTTTCAAAAACCTTCACCCTTTTACAATTCCAGTTATCAGAAAAACTGTTTTCATGTGGACGGGAGGCGAAAGTATACAGATATATGTGGACTGGGCCTAAGAGGGTGTAATTTTAATGCAGGATGTGTAATGTGCCTGCTTTTAGTGATTTTATGTTTATTGCTTGCAGGACAGTATTTAAGTACAAAACAAATTGTTTTGCCTGCCACATATTACATCATTCACATCAACAGTATCTTCTTCACTAAACACTTCAATTCCTAAAGGCAGTTCTTCACCTGCCTGACCAGTCCTAACAAGTCAGCTAAGGCCTAAATAGCTAATTAGTTTCTGAGGCTTTACAACTGAATGGGTGTTCAAACTTTTGCACTTTCCACAATTAATATTTTATTTATTTTTTTCAAGTTAATTAAATATAAATTAACTGTGCATTAATGCAGAAAAAAAAATATTTTAGAAAACAGTTTGCAGCAGACAGAGTCACTGTTGTCACTTAAAACATCAACAGAATGTGTTGTTTGGCCAGGGAGTGCCCAGACTTTTGCATACAGCTGTAGATTCTCCTGGCATGATGCTGGAGTGTTTACAAAGAGTTTAAAAGTTCCCTTTTAGAGAGACCCACACAGAGGATAGAGAGAAAGAGTTCGTAGAGGATGACATAGCAATGGTGTAGTGTGACACCTTTGCAGTCGCCTGGAACACCATAGCAATGGCCTAGCAACCACCTGGGAAACCATAGCATCAACTTACAGCAGAACTTACAAATACATGCAAAAGGTTGGGCACACAGAATGCAGATTACACATTTGGACCATTTTTGGATTGAACAGAAGTAAACACAACCTCTATTTTCCTACTGAATGAATAAAGAGAAAGAGTATGTAGTGTGCAGACAAAGAGCTGTCTCTTACTAAAGAGAAAGGTCCACAAAATGTGTGTACAGTGGAACGTTTTGGCACAGTGAACTGTAAGGGGAAGATAAATTCTTCAGGATGTGAGTTTGGACGAGCACAGAGAGAGAGAAAGAGAAAGAAGAAAAAGGAAAAGAAAGGGCAGAGTACAGAGAGAACAGACGCAGGCACATTTTGCATTCAGTACCTTCTGTTTTCCTTTCACTCCTGAGTCTATTACCAAACTACACGCGCGCACACACACACACACACACACACAGACCTGCTTGTGCTTTGCCAGTGAGGAGTTTGGCATCAGAGATGAAAATGCATTTTCAACAGCTCTGCATTTTTTTCTTCCTGCATCATCCTTTCTTCATGGCCTGCTTTGTATCGCTTTCTTCTCCTTTTCTCCTCCATCTCTTTTTCTTGTAGTTGATGACCTAGTTAGAACAGTCTAATTGGAGGGCTGCCTTGGGCAGGTATGAAGGGGTTTGCTTGTGTTAACAGATAATGAGACGCATTCACTCTACCCTGATACGGCTGTAAAACTTTCACAGAGTGGGTTGCTTTTGTTACAAAAGTAGAAGAATGGACCAGATTGACTTTTGCATTTATTCTCTTTCAGCTGCAGCCTTTGGTTATGTGTGCTGTGAGTGTCCAGCTGGATAGAGTTAAGTTAGTTTGCTCCATATTGGAAAGAAAAAGGGAAAACAGAGAGAGAGAGAGAGAGAGTGTAATGGGGTCCAAAAGTCTGAGACCATTGAAAATCTTTTAACCTGGAAATAAAAGAAGAATTGTGAAAAATCTAAAATTATGAGAAGTAAAATGAAGGAATATTCAAGATTCTGCACTGTTTTCTAGGTCGCTATTCAAGTTCAAGCAAAATTTAAAGAGGAATTCCACCAAATTTTCAAAATGTCTGCATAATTTAATCTTTAAGATGTAAACAGTCATTCATAGTGGTTTGACATGAATTGATTCACTGAAGAGAAATTTAAAGAGCCTGATCTCTTTACAGTGGTGGTGAATGGAACCGGGATGTCTCAATGTCTACAATAGAAATATAGCCATTTTATTTACTATCCTAAACCTCCAGTGAACCTACACGTGTCTTCTGTTTTTATATGTAACGTTGATGATAAAATAATAGTAAATCTGAAAAAAAGGTTTCTTTGGGGACAATGAATCCGTAAAAAAGTTAAAGTAAAACATAGCTTTCTGATGCTTCCCATCACCCCCACTGTCAACAATTGTGCTTTGGTAAGTTTCTCTAGAATGGAATGGTTTCATATCGAACCACTCTGAATGACTTTGTTTACATCTCAACCATTCAATTATGCAGAAAATATAAAAAAATAGGTGGAATTCCCCTTTGAGACTTTTGTATAAGAAGGCCAGATTTGTTTTTTTAGTCATATTCCTTCCCTTGAAGTTTATGCTGAGACAAATTTTAGGTTGATTTGATCTACTCACCAAAGGCCTTTGCACAAACTTGTGGACTCCATGTAGCTCAAGTGTCATTAAAGGAAAAGTAATACATGATAAAAATAAGAAATTCTGAAATTTGTTAATATATTTCAGAGATTCTACTTTTTGCTCAAATTGTTACACTGGTGATATAATTTGTAATGAAAAATGTTGGATTAAATGGGAAAACAGTGCATTTTCACTAGTGGTCTCAGACTCAGAAGTTGGTGTAAGGTCACTACAAGGTGAGTGTATTCCTATGTGAGTAACATACAAACATACAGATAGACATACAGAGTAATATTTCATATTATATATGAATTTGTTAGCGTATTATTCCATTGTGAGTACAGATCTACATGAAGAAATACACTGACACTGCTGTTTTAAGTGGAAACCAAATAAACAAATGAGTGATCTCTTACTTTTGCACAGCACTGTATCAGCATTTCCTCAGCATAACACTGTCACACACACACACATACACACACACACACACACACACACACACACAGCATCATTGTGTCTTCTAATACTGCAGCTTTTGCTTTGAGGCTTTTTTTATTCTACATTTCTTTGAGACAGCCATTAATGTTCAGGCTATCCACAGTCCTCACACTAATAGATTTAAAGCTGCAAGCCTTCAGCCACACTGTGTGTGTGTGTGTCTTTGTCAGCTGAGCTGGATTTAAATAGGAAATCCTCTGTTTTTATAGGACTTTAGTTGACAGAATAAAGCTGAAAAAATCCTTTGTCTCATTGTAATCGCCGTTCTCTTTAACTCTGGCCCTGTTTTAAACCCACAAACACCACATCCCACTAATCAGGCAACTTTCATTAGCATTGCAGTGTTCATCGCGTTTACATCACAGTCCATTAACGTTACTGCACTTTAACGGTTTCATGATTACTCGATTGAAACAGTCAGTGTTAAAATTGACCTTCACAAAGAATTAGCTATGATAAATTTGCATAATTATAATGTATATTTCAAGTTCTCATATAGTGGAATTTTTGAAAAGCTCTGTTTGGTTTTGTTATTGCTCAGTGAAGTGCTTTTTTTCCACTTTATTAAAAACTCTATTAATGTAAGTGATCGTGACAGCAGCTACAATGTCCCTCTCTCTCTCTCTCTCTCTCTCTCTCTCTCTCTCTCTCTCTCTCTCTCTCTCTCTCTCTCTCTCTCAGGTTAGTGTTGTCCTCTGTGTCGGACTACTTTGCAGCCATGTTCACAAGTGACGTGCGGGAGGCCAAGCAAGAGGAAGTAAAGATGGAGGGAGTTGACCCAGATGCATTGTGGGTCTTGGTGCAGTATGCATACACAGGTAAGTGTGTTATGTCTCGTAGGTCATTTCTTCCTAGAGAGAAAAAAAAATATGAAATAACGCTCTCTCTCCCTCCCTCTCTATCTCTCTCTATCTCTGTCTCTCTCTCTCTCCCTTTTCTGTCTCTCTCTCTATCTCTCTGTCTCTCTTGTCTCTCTCCTCTCTCTCTTTCTTTCTTGCTGTCTCTCCTTCCCTCCACCTTTTTCTGTCTTTTTGTTTTTTCTCTTCTCTCTCCCTCCCTCTCTCTCTCTGACCCCCCCCCCGCCCCCCTTCTGCAGGTCGGTTAGAATTGAGAGAGGACACTATAGAGAGTTTGCTCTCAGCAGCATGTTTGCTGCAGTTGTCTGCAGTGGTTCAGGCTTGTTGTACTTACCTCATGAAGCAGCTGCACCCCTCAAACTGCCTCGGGATTCGATCCTTCGCCGACGCCCAGGGCTGCCAGGACCTTCACAAAGTGGCACACAACTACACCATGGTAAAACACACACGCTCTACACTCACACTCAGAGCAAACACACTAGGGGTGCATCTTGATTAAGGGACTGTTGCTAGGTAAACTGCGCCCTTAGAAGCATCCTTACCACCAACTTTCAGCAGAGACGCTTCCTCTGCAGCTTCTCTGAAGTTATATGATCTAAGGAGGTTTCATGGCTGTGGTGACACCATAATTTACTTATTAGCTGAGAGGCTGGAGTTTGCGGTGTTTGAACAGAGGAAGCGAAACATGGGGGAGGATGGAGCCAGACAGCGAGACAGCTATCAAGATAAATAAGGAAAGAGGTGTGAACTGAAATTAAATGACTGAAATGATTCTTTTTGATGTCTGATTTTTTTTTTTACATATGGGAAAGAGACCATCCACACTGCATTCACCCCTTCCTGGTCATTTAAAGTTCAAGTTCAGCTCTGACCAGTAGCGTGTTTTTACAAGCCAGTTCTTCTTTAATAAAAAGCTAAAGTTCATATGGGAAAGAGACTGTCCTCTGCACTGCAGCCACCCCTTCCCAGCCTGTTAAAGTTCAAGCAAAGCTCTGGATAGCAGCTTGTTTTTACCAGGCAGTTCTTCTTTAGTAAAAAGCTTCCTTTTGGTTTCAGCTGCAATATCCTAACTATACCCCATATATGCTGCAAACATGTATTCCGGCCCACACAAAAAAGGTTTCATATATTTTATGTTAAGTTACGCAGTATTCTGTATCCCTCAGCCTCATGGCTTTGATAGAATTCATGATTTTATATCATTTACATGATTTTGTTCATCAGTGTTCTGTCACTACAGTACCCAGCATACATTACGCAAATACATCATGCAACCATTGGGAATCCCTGTGATGCAACTGGTTCCGACTGCTTGCTTACTCACTGATTTATAGGCTAAAATATCAACCATGCTAGCATTAGTGTAACTCTTACCTCAGTGGTCAAACAGAATTGTAAAAAGAACAGTGATGTTTTGTACGCTTACAGCCACATAAAAGAAGCCAAACTGAGGTAAGCCTCCAGATAGTCAGCTGCTGTGCTAACTTCAGCTTTTATCTTGCTGTCCTCTTCGTCTGATGTATCATTTCTGTCATTTGTGTAATCCATTCTGTCCATTGTTGAAGACAGTTATTGCACTTAAACTGCTGCTGTGAGGTTTCTCTAACCTTCAACATACATCATCAGAAGGAGGTTTTCATAGTCTTTAAACTAGATAATCTCACTCTCACTCTTTAGCAACCACATGGAACATCATAGAAACAGCCTAGCAACACCTTAAAAACATCTGGGATACCAGAGCAACCACCAAGCAAAGTCATACATTTTTTAGCATATTTAAATATATATATAATACAACAGCTACAACTGTTCATGTTCTTATTTTAATCTTGACCCTGTTTCTGCTAAGTGTATGTAAGTGCTTGAGTGTACTATAGGACCTTTTATAGTGAGGGTGTGTGTGGTGTTTCTCTTTTCTTGCTGTCTCTCTTTCGCATTCCCTTATTCTCTGTCTTTATCTCTCACTCTCTCCTTTTCCTGTTTCCTCCCTTTGTTGTTTTTTTTCACGGCCCCAAATACACGTCCTGGAGGATTTATCCTCCTCTGCAGTTAACTGTGCCAAAACTTTCCACAGCACTCTGTGTGTGTGTGTGAGTCAGCGGGTGAACTGGGCGAGTGTGTGTTTAATTGGTCACGCTAGTGTTCCCCTTCACAAACTCTGGGCTCTCTCGTTTGATGTTGCTCTGTTCCTGAGGGAAGCTCATTCAGAAAATATAGCCCATAATAGCCCGCCCACGGTTACCAACTGGGGAGTTGTCATGGAGACTGCATGGAAAACTTGCCTCATTTTCTTTCTGTCTTTCTATTTCCTCTCTGTCGTTTTGCTCCTTCCTCTTTCCCCTCCATGTCTGTTTCTCTCTTTCTGATGCCTTCACTTTATCTCTCATTCTGTCTACCTTCTGATTTTTTTTCTCACTTCCTCACTAGAGCTTTAATAGGGCCTTACATTTTAAGCCAATCCCGAGTATTGTCCGAAAACATGCCGGTTCCACAGCCACGTTATAATCCCAACCCTGACTGTAGCTGTCAAAATTCTCTTCAGATTTGACTGTAACCTGACAACATTCAGTCCAACAAAATTCTGTCTAAACCCGACTGTAACCCTACAAAATTCTGAGCCTGACTGTAGCCCAACAAAATTCTGTCGAACCCAACTGTAGCCGAACAGCGTTCTGTCTAAACCCTACTGTAGTCCTAGAAAATTCTGTCTGAACCCGACTGTAGCCCAACAAAATTCTGTCTAAACCTGATTATATCCCAACAAAAATCTGTCTAAACCTGACTGTAGCCCAACAAAATTCTGTCTAAACCTGATTATATCCCAACAAAAATCTGTCTAAACCTGACTGTAGCCCAACAAAAATCTGTCTAAGCCCGACTGTAGCCCAACAAAAGTCTGTCTAAACCCGATTGTAGCCCAACAAAAATCAGTCTAAACCTGATTATATCCCAACAAAAATCTTTCTAAACCTGACTGTAGCCCAACAAAAATCTGTCTAAACCTGATTGTATCCTAACAAAAATCTTTCTAAACCTGACTGTAGCCCAACAAAAATCTGTCTAAACCCGACTGTAGCCTAACAAAAATCTTTCTAAACCTGACTGTAGGCCAACAAAAATCTGTCTAAACCCGACTGTAGGCCAACAAAAGTCTGTCTAAACCCGATTGTAGGCCAACAAAAATCTGTCTAAACCCGACTGTAGCCCAACAAAAATCTGTCTAAACCCGACTGTAGCCCAACACAAATCTGTCTAAACCCGACTGTAGCCCAACAAAAATCTGTCTAAACCTGACTGTAGCCCAACAAAAATCTGTCTAAACCCGACTGTAGCCCAACAAAAATCTGTCTAAACTCGACTGTAGCCCAACAAAATTCTGTCTAAAACCGACTGTAACCCGCAAGTTCCGTATGAACCTGACTATAGACCAAAAAAAATTCTGTCCCAGTCTGGCTGTATTATGACAAAGTTTGGTCTGAATCTCAGTGTAGCCAAACAAAATTCTGTCTGAACCTGACCAAACTGAATAGTTCAGTCCCATCAGGTTGTAACGAATATTTTAACAGCTGTCTCTTGTCCCCTCACACTCTCTCTCTCTCAACTGTTTTTCAGGAGCACTTTATGGGTGTTATGAAGAATCAGGAGTTTCTGCTGCTGCCAGCGAGCGAGGTGGAGAAGCTTTTGGCATCAGATGACATGAACGTCCCAGACGAGGAAACGGTGGTATCGGCTCTGCTTAGCTGGGTCCGCCATGACCCCCCCACCCGCCAGTCACAGTTGCCCAGCCTTTTGGCACACGTCCGTCTGCCTCTACTCAAACCACAGGTCAGTCTGACTGTCAGTGTCAGTGAATACATCAATCACACTGACAGGTCAGTCTGACTGTCAACTAATCAGTCACTCTCACACTGTCACCCAGTGGCAAAGCCTGGCTAGCTGTCTACCAATCACTGCAGTAGATCAGACTGTCAGTCACACCAGCAGTCATGCATCCCTCGTTCATGCAGATGATTTGTAAGTTGTTTTAATTTTGACTTGTTTATCCCAGGACATCACATAAGATAAGTGTGTTATTGTGGTCCTTCTCTGTTCTTGTTTTAACCTTAGGATAGCTGAAGAGGATGGTTCTTGTCACACTTTTCCTATTCACATATACGCAGCCTCAAACTTTGACTCCTTCTCCTCTGTGACTTTATCTTCTGTTACAGAGAAAAGAAACACACACACACACACCTGTAGACCTCCTCTGTTTCTTCTCCAAGTTCCGATGTTTTTTCTTTGTAAAGAGTCTCCAAATTTGTATGAATGTTCAATTCATTAGATTGATAGATTAAGTGCTTAATTGACTGACTCCTTGTTTTATTGTCAGTTCATCTGACTGATTAGTAGGGTTACTTAGGGAAAGAAGTCAGATGACCCCCCCCCCTCCTTTTTTTCTTTCCTGATTAGATGATTGGGCCAAGTCTTATTCTGACACATTTACTGAATGCCTAACAGAATGAGTTCTGAAATTTCATCTGGATCTCTGCTTTTCTCAGGCTTATTTCCCTGGAAACTTTTTGACATTGGAAAATAGTGATCTCTTCATTTATACAAAGTAATAGAAAGAAAAATAAAAAGAAAAGCTGTTGAAAATATATGGGGGGTTGGTTTGTGCTGTGAAAAGAGCAGTACAATTTGGTTTTGAGGGGAAAAAAGTGCTTTTATCCTTTTGAACTGAAGATGTAACAACGTCCAAAAGGCCTTTTTCAGCATATTGCCCCATATCATTTAGATACATTTTATTTTCATCATAAAGGCACAAAGCTGTCCACTGGCATTTCGCTGACTAGCTAGCATATAACACTGTGATCGTTAGCTACAATTACGCAACATTTTTAGCCATCTTACTAGATTTGTTTGAATTTGTATGAATTTTGCAGCTTGACACATTTACATCCACACCTGATCTGTCCAGTCATAGTAATAAACATTTTACTATAGTATTATTACAACTGCTGTTATAATTACTTCTATTTATACTGTAGCTGCTATTACTGCTACTGCTACTGCTACTGCTCCTGTTATTACTACTACTAATGCTAGTAATAGAACTATTTTTACTACCACTGCTGTTGCTGCTACTATTGTTAGTACTACTGTTACTACCACTACCACCACTACTATGATTACTACTACTACTACTACTACTACTGCTGTTAATAATAATAATAATAATAATAATAATAAATACCGTTACATGAATTTAAATCACAATAACTATTTCATTAATGAACAAAGTTGACAGATTTTTAATGTTTCTGTTTTGCTGAAATGTGTGTTATAGTTTATTAAAATGAAGTGGAATCATTAAGACGTAAATGAATAGAGGCCTCAATTTCATTATTGTCAACACATTTTCTGAAAATTACAAGTAGTAGAAATGATCTTCCCCCATTTTCCCCTATTGTTGCACTTCTTAAGACTCTTGGTCCTTGGCTTAAATGATGTAGAACCTTTACATTATGTAGACATTCTTGAAACTTTGACAATGTTCTTTTCTCATTTGCAAAAATGGTTCTTGAAAGATCCATTGAAAGGCTCTTTGTGGAACCTAAAATGGTTCTTCTGTGGCAGCACTCCAAAGAACCCCTTTTGGCACCTTTATTTTCAAGAGCAAACCTCTGTTCCGTTTTGAGCATGTGCTGCTCTCGTTATGGTGTGCACTGTAATTTAGGAGGAGAAGTACCATGAGGCTGTGCATTTCCCTGGCCTTTATTCTTCATACCTCTTCACTCCTCCCTCCATTTTCTTTCCCTCTGTTCCCCTCTTTTCCGCACACCTCTCCTCTCCATTCCACAATTCATTCCTCTTTTTCCTTCATTGAATGATTGATTCCATGGACTTCCTCACTGAAGCTCTCCAGTTCTGCCTCTGTTTCTCCCTTTCAGTAAATTTCTATAACCCTCAAGAAAGCAAAAAGAAGAAGGAAGAAGCAGGGAGAAATATTTGAATAAGTCTGGGCAATCGAGGCGTTGCTTCTGCCTGGGTAGCCGCGTCCATTCCGTTCAATCTAAATGGAAATCGCAGCTTCTTTCATCCTCTTCGGGGAAAGGAGATTTTTTTTTTTTCCTCTTTTCAGCTCCCAGCCTGGTCCTCCGGACGTGAGCCTAATCATTTACACCATATGCACACGCCCCCATACACGGGCTGAGAAAAGATGAAATATGAAATATTTGATACATCTCTCTGACAGATAGACATAGCTGCCGTAGAGCGCCTTTACGTCCAAAAAGAGATGAAAACGTTTGCATTTGTTTTTCAGCAAAAAAGCTGAGGGAGGAGGGGATGAGAAGAGGAAAGGAGGAGCAGGTGGACGTGATGGATGAAGGGAGAGAGCGAGATGAAAGGAGGAGATAGATGGAGGGACAGCAGAGGTAGACAGTGCAGTGTAATGAAAGTATAAGGTATGTTATGAAAGCTGTAACTAGGCAGGCTCGAAGGGGCAGCTGATAGATTTTATAAGAGATTCATTTAAGAGGCATTGAATTTGGATGAGGCACAGGCATGCACGAGTACACAGACACACACACACACACACACACACACACACACACACACACTTACTTCCCAAGCAGCAGTGGGTTTGTTAACCTGTATGTGTAGCAGTATGCTTCCATATACATGGACTTGCCAGGTGCACCATATTCAGTACTGTGCAAAATTCAGAGACCACCTTTCTGTTTGTTGAGTTTCCAATAGAAATGGCAAAAGTACTAATTATTATATGTAACAAAATTACACAACACTAAATATAATATCAACTATGTGCATATTTAATTGTGTAAGTCATACTGCCTCTTTAATTCTATCCTTCCACCCATCCAATCTTAAAACCAATGAGTTGCAGCTGTGTCCTCCCAACAAAAGCTGTGCCCAAAGGAGTCACTGACATTAACTCACCTTAGCTGCGTCATACATTTCTCTCTCATGTGTACCTAAAATGGCTAAAGAGATTTACATTAGATACTTGCATAATGACAGGGAAAAGCCAAAGGGCAATAGTGAAAGTGAAAAACTGGAGTTTCCTGATAATCCACTTTATAATGATGGATTCATTAAAAGATATCACGAAAATGGGACTCCTTAAAAGATATCGCGAAAATGGGACTCCCCATCAGAAAACAGCTTGAATCTTTAAAAGAGAGAGGAGAATATCAAGCTCCACACCTGCTTCAGATCTTTCTTTCACTGAGAAGTGTTTCTGTCCATCCTTCTACTGTGAGAAGACAACTCAATGCTATGGGTCTGAAAGGACATGTAGCTGACAAGAAGCTCTTACTGAGAAAAGGAAACAAAGAAGCTGCTGGTGTTTTCAGAACAATGGACTGTCCACCTCAGAGTCCAGACCACAACATTACAGATTGTGTTTGTATTACTTGAATTGTGAGAAGCAGAAAGTCCAACCAACTTCTAAGACTGAACTTGATATATGAAATTGAAATTTAGCTGTTGAGGGTTCTGTGTAATTGTCTGTTTTCTGCCACTGAAAATATGAATGACTTGTACTTAAAGAGTATTTTGACTGTAAATTAAGTAAAGGTGGTCTCAACTTTTGCACAGTGTTGATGTGTCGTAGGTGTTTCTAATGAAGTGTATATTTGGAACACTAGTATATAGTAAATGATGATTTTAAAATCAGTTACTCAATACATTTCATAAATATTATATGCAAATAACATATTCCATATTTCTTTGAAGTATAGCTTAATAGACTACCATTTTCAGTCTTTGAAATAAGTTGGAGCACTTTGACAAGTTGTTCCAAAAAAAGTAATAATTAGGTAAAAATTGTGATGTAAAAATAATTACTTCATGGTTTTTCCCTCAGGCAGTCTTGCCCAGTGTTACTTAACATTTTTGATTACTTTATTGGCCAAAAGCCAGCAATTACTGGCTAATGAAAAGTCATAGAGGTGTGTGTCTGTGTGTGTGTGTGTTTGCATGCATAATGTGTGTGTGTGTGTGTGTGTGTGTGTGTGTGTGTGTGTGTTAAAGACACGTGTCTGTGGGTGTGTATTACTCCAGCAGACTTCATTACTGTGAGATTAGGACACAGAGCATTGGCTTCCTTCTAATTAAAAACTCTTTCGCTTGCTAGACCATGAGCGAGGGAGGAGATAAACAGAGAAAAAAAGAGAATGAGGGTATGAGTGCAGCATGCAGCACCTCGTTAAGGCGACTCTGAGAGGTTGCAGCATGAAAGGATTAGACAGAATAAGAGAGAAGAGAGAAAAGGACCTGAAATGGTTATGCAAGAATTAGTATTCTAATCTCTGATCTCATTGGACTAATATTAAGAGGATAAATAAAGAGTGTGTGTGTGTGTGTGTGTGTGTGTGTGTGTGTGTGTGTATGTGTACATATGTTCTTAGGAGGCTAGTTGAATGTTGAAAGTGTAGAATGGAGATTTATGGGTTATGTAGTTTTTCCAGTATTTTGTAATATTATCATCCTTATCCAACTAAATGCCTGTGACCTTCCATTCCTCAGGCAACACTGCATTAAAGACTGGCATTTTTTTGTGATGAATATCACCACATGGCTTGGGAAGGGTTTGACATATCATGGTCAACAATTATTGTTTGTCGCTGTATCCACAAGTGCAAGTTAAGACTGTTTCATGCACAGTGGATGCCATATGTCAGCAACTCATGTGAAGTGGACAGATGCACAGTGGAAACGTGTATTGTGATCTGACATGTCAGCTGTTCATATTGTTAATGGAAATAATGGACGTCATGTTTTCAGGCCAAGGAAAAAAAGGTCCATCCAGGCTGTTATCAGCAAGTTCAAAAGGGGCCTGTAATACTGTGGGGGTGTATTAGTGCCCATGGCCTACGGTGAAAGATATGTATATACACAATTTGGAGCATATTCTGTCTTCTAGAAGACATCTTTTACAGAGACATCCATGCTTTTTTCAGCATGACAAATCCAAGCCATGTTCTGTACCTGTTACAATAGCAAGGCTGCATATTTGTAATTGTACAGGTGCTGGACTGGCCTGCCTGCAATCCAGACCTGTCTCCAATTGAAATTGTGTGGCACATTATAAAACACAAAGTTTGCCAACAAAGTTCTCGAATGGTTATGCAGCTGAAGACTTGTATAGCGGAAGAATGGCAACAAAAAACTGCTTTCAAAGCTGGATCGAGTAGTGCCTTCAATCCCCAAATGGAAAGGTGATGTAACACATTGGTAAACATGCTCCTGGCCCAACTTTTTTGACTGTGTTGCAGATATCAAATTTAGAATGAGTGTATATTTACAAAAAAATGAAAAGTTTACAAGGTAAACACATAGTGTTTTTGTACTTTTTGCAGACTTTATAGCATTTATTAATCACTGCTTTTTGTTTTTATTAGCATTTCACAGACTGTCCCTTTTTTTGCAGGTATGATTTTTATCCATTTTTGGACACCCAATCTGAGGGACATTGAAGGGGTAAAATTTTGGGGGTAATTTTTTTTTCTTTTTTTAATTTTGTGGTTTATATAGGGTAACCTCCTCCGTAGGGACACTACAGAGTGAGGGCTCTGGGTGTCAGTATTGTTTAGCAGATACAGGGAACAGTCTACTCTTGATGTTTGTGTGTGTGTGTGTGTGTGTGTGTGTGTGTGTGTATATAGAGATATATAGTTTTTGTTTTTTATGTTTTTGTCAGCTATAGAGTTCAGCACACTACTGGGGCACAGTGTTTAGTAAGAGCTTGAGGGTTTGTGGGCTGTTTTTTGACTGTAGTTTTTAACAGGTACATAAGCTAGCCCACTACACATGGACTCTTATGAGTGATGTAGTTTTTGTTTGTTTTTGTTGTCGTAACAATACCATATGTCTCCAAATGCAAACCAAACTTGTAATGTAAAGATGTAGAGATTTTATTCCAGGTCATGTTGGAGCATCTTGGTCCATTCATCATGAAACGTTCACAAATATAAGGGCAGGTGCTTTGCTCAAATGATGTAGAAAAAGAAAATGGATATTAATTGTTTTTAATATAAATAAAATATTTAAAATTCATCGTTTGGCAAACATACAGGGAAGCCTGCAGTGTGGAGTCAAGGTTTGTGGGTACTTTAGTGATTCTGCCTACAGTGTTCAGCAAATTTAGCGGCCAGTTCCCTCACAATGGACATTGCGGAATGAAGGTTTATGGTTAATGTATTTTTTGTTTCTTGTGTTTGTAGTTTTTGGCTGATATGGAGGGCAACCCACTCCTGAGGGACAGTGTGGAGTGTCAGCGGTTGGTCATGGAAGCTATGAAGTACCACCTGCTACCTGAGCGACGACCACTGCTGCAGAGCCCGAGGACACGTCCCCGAAAGGCCACTGTGGGGGCACTGTTTGCTGTGGGGGGCATGGACGCCACAAAAGGTAACAGAGCACACTGTGTATAAAATGTTTGTTGTAAATGAATGTAGTTTAGGTCGTTTATTTCAGGTCAAGGTTCATTCATGTAGCGCTTTGTACAATGAGTGTCATCACAAAGCAGCTTTACGATAAATCTAAGTCTAAATGAGCAAACCAAGGGTGATATTGGATAGCAAAGCAAGAATAAAGAATTTCTTCACCAGCCCAGACGAGATCTTGTAACGAGAACATATGAGGACAACCAAGTGAAATTTTTGAGGTGAATGTCGGTGGGAATGTAGGCTTATAAGGGTGAAACGAAACTGATTTCTAAACCAATCTAACGCAAGAGCTCAAAGGCAGAGCTCAAAGTAGGGGGTGACGGTGCGCTTATTAACACTGTCCAATGGACAACAGGCCTGTTGTTAACCCACTGACGCAAGTTATCACGGCTAAAGTCCCCCCATATAAGTTATATAAGCATTATAAGTTACAAGTGCGAGACTAATATTACAAGTGAGAGACTAATATTAACCTATCCAAGCATCTTCTTACATGGGCCATCCCATGGTATTGAATGATATGTGAACTTATAAGTATCTGCAAATTTAGCAGAATAATTTCTGGTTTCAGCATTTTAAACTGCCGGAGCTGCACCTTTAATTTCCCTTTATTTTCAGGTGCCACCAGTATTGAGCAGTACTGCCTGCGGAGAGATTCCTGGCGGCAGGTGGCAGTGATGAGTGGCCGGCGGCTGCAGTTTGGTGTGGCTGTCCTCGATGACCGGCTGTACGTGGTTGGGGGGCGGGATGGCCTGAAGACTCTCAACACAGTGGAGTGTTACAACCCCCGGAGCAAAAGCTGGAGCGTCATGCCCCCCATGTCTACACACCGGCATGGCCTAGGTGAGCCACCTCTGACCTTTGACCCTGAGTGTGTTTGTGGCTCCATTGAGGGCTTGTAGATTATTTGTTTTGCTTACTGTTGACAAGGAGTTGGGGAGGGAATTCTATGTTAATATTTGTGAGCATGTGTAGTGCAGATATATATAATGTACTGTGCAAAAGTCTTAGGCACCAAAGCACAGGCAGCAAGTGAGTTTTTGTGTGTGAAAATGCCATATAAGATTAGAATATATGCAAATAAACAAATACAGTAAAAAGTTACAAGAATAACTTTTTTTGAAAAAGATACTACTTAATAATGTGAACCGTCAACACCTAAGTTAAGAAAAGCTAACTACACTTTAATATTAATTATCATTCGACATTAGAGATATTCACAAGTCAATTTAAGTCCCAGGCCATTAAGTGCGAATCCAAGTCAAGTCTTGTGTAGAGGATTTTTTACTGCGTGTAGTGCTTTCCTCTGTATATCAGATGGAAGGTTTTCCTATAACAAAAGGATCTTTATTTGAAGCTGGATTGAATCTGATGCCTAATGTACTATTACTGTACGTTCAAATAGATGCTGTGTATCTAAATTGTGTATTGAATTAAATTATGTGTATTGTGCTCCTGTGTGTGTAGGGGTAGCAGTATTGGAGGGCCCCATGTATGCAGTGGGAGGTCATGATGGGTGGAGCTATCTTAGCACAGTGGAGCGTTGGGATCCTCAGGCCCGACAGTGGAGTTTTGTCGCATCTATGGCGACACCCCGAAGCACTGTGGGAGTTGCAGTTCTAAACAGCAAGTAAGTTCTGATAAGTGTGCTTGTATACCAGGGCTGCTACTAATTATTATTTCTGTAGTGGGCTATCAGCTACAGTTCTGTGCAAAAGCCAAAGACCACCCTTTAATTTGTTTAATTTTCAGTCAGAACAGCCATGAAGTATGAGTTATTCATTTTTCAGCATCAGGAAAACAGCAGAAAATATCTGTTTAACATAAAATTACACAGGAGCCCCAATAACTAAATATAATAGTGATTTTTTCAGTATTTAGTGTGTTTACCCTTATTACATTATTACAGCTTCCATTCTTTTTGAGAGACTTGCTTTCAGTTTTTCAAAGAATCTGCACATTTTTCCTTGCTTCTTATAAACACAAGTCTATTCTAAAAAATTGTTTGCATTTTATGCTCTAATATTGTACTTAAAGATTCTGTGTAATTTTCTGTTAAATACATGCTTTCTGCTTTTTTCTATTCTTTGGAAAATGAACAACTTATACTTAATGGCGATTGTGACTGAAAATTAAATAAACAAAAGGGTCTCTGACCTTTACACAGTACTGTAAATTATGGTCATGTATCAACTATTTAATATAGAAGAGCCCAAATATATGTCTCTCTTCTGCTATGTCTTGCTCAGTTTGTTGTCTCTTCTGTCTTCCCTTTTTTATTTCTCTCTCTCTGCCTCCTTCTTTTTTTCTCTCTCTGCTTCTTTCTATCTCTCTCTTTTTCTTTCTCTTTTTTTCTCTTTCTTTCTCTCTCTCTCTACAGGCTGTATGCAGTAGGAGGCAGGGATGGTAGTTCATGTCTGAAGTCAGTTGAGTGTTTTGATCCTCACACCAACAAATGGAGTGCCTGTGCGCCCATGTCCAAGCGCAGGGGTGGCGTCGGTGTGGCAACCTGGAACGGCTTTTTGTACGCCATTGGTGGCCATGATGCCCCTGCATCTAGTCTCACATCCCGACTTTCTGACTGCGTAGAAAGGTGAGGGGGTGAGAAGGGGTCACTGTTGTCAGTATCAATAGTGTCCTTTTAGTACAGTCAGTTTTGCAACTACCCTTAACAAAATGTACATACAGTAAATAGGCAGCCCAGAATGCATATATAAATCATTATTAATCAAAAAATGTGGAAAAAACAACTACCTAAAATCATTATTAATATGGCAGCTACAACATTATATACATGTTGTAGCTGCCATATTAATAATGATTTTAGGTGGTTGTTTTTTCCACATTTTTGATAACACCTGTAGCTCTTGATATTGCATGATGAATGGACCAATAGAAATGGTCCAAAATTAGAAACGGAATGAAATCTCATTGCATAGCTCAGCGCTATGAGTCTAAAGGATGTTTAGCTGTCAAGAAGCTGTTACTGAGAAAAGGAAATAGACAAAAAGTAGAAAATTGATGCTAGCGCAAAACTGGACATGTGAGGTTTGGAATAAGGATTTATGGACTGATGAGTGTTAATTTGAGATCTTCAGAAGTAACAGAAGGTAGGATTGTGTGCTGCCCAAGTAATGAAAGACTCTTCAAACCATGTCTGCAACCATCAGTCACTGCAAATTTGAGGATGGGTAACAACATCTGGTGAGAAGTACAAAGAAATTTGAATACAATGCATACCATGAAATTGTAAAGAAATTTATACTGCAGCAAGATAATGACCCTACGCACACTGCTGAAAAAATCAAAGCATATTTGTCAAATAAAGAACAGACTGACCACCCGAGAGCCCAGACCTCATCATCATTGAATGTGTTTGGTATTAATTGGATTGTAAGAAGTAGAAAATGCAACCAACTTTTAAGGCTAAACTTTGGAGGTGAGGAAAAATATCCCTGCAGATTTCTTAGTTAAAACGGAAAGTTTCCTGAAAATAATGGAAGCTGTAACAAAGACAAAGGATGATTTTTGATTATATTCATTATTATGGTATTTACATTTTTAATGTTTAATTTTATAGTTTAAAACCCACTTATTTGAAACCCATTTTCATTTTTAATCCCGTGAGATGATCTTGCTTCTGGGAGATATTTTGAGTGTTCATACACTTAAATACCAAAATATGTAGGCAGTAGATTTTCCTTACATATGCCTCATCTTAAATAAATAAAGGTCATGTGAAATGATTGTTACACTTAAAAGTCTTTACTTAAAATAGAGGGTGATTTGAGTTTGGCATGTGGAACTGAAACTCATAGGTGATTTTTGTTTTTTTTTATATTTATCTTGTTTGGTTGTGCCTCATTTTTAGGTACCGGCTTACTGTAATTAATTAGCATGTTTCACCCATTAAGTGCTGTTTACTTTTATCAGTAAGCGTTTTCTATGGATCTGCAGTTTCTTTGAATTGATACAAGTTCTTGTTTTAAAGCGAGGTGTTTAGATGTAGCTAGGCAAGAAAACCCTGGCAACCTCTGATACTTGACCTGCATGCAGGCAATTTCAGTAATCTGATTATGTTACCGCATAGAGCAGGTCTGAATATGCATATCTATTGACATATCTTCTGAACTTGGAATACAGCCCATTGTATACAGTAAAGACTATTGTGTTTATTAATCTATGCAAAAGTCTGAATTAGATGTTTTGGGCATTGATGCAGAATCTTTCAGTAGAGCATTGCAGTGCATCTAAGAATTGTTTGTTTTTCCCACCCCTAATGAGTTGTATTGGAAATAATACGGGTTTGTTTTTGTATGTATGGAGAATTCCGGTTTTCCATCTTATGCATGCTCTATGTGTGTGCGTGTGTGTGTGTGTGTGTGTGTGTGTGTCTGCGTGCTTGTCTGTCTGTGTGAAAAAGTTGTGCATGACTCAAGCTGTGTCTTTCTCTGTTGTGACTCAAGGTAAAGTGAGCTGTCTGTCAACCCGTCTGTCAGAGATCTTCTCTAAAGTGAGCCGAGTGTCTCGTTCGTCTCAGCTTTCCACCACATCCTCTGATTCAAATTGAGTCCTGTCAACTTGTGTGTATCTGACCTCTTGAGTTTGTGGAGTTCAGAAGCAGGGTGTGTACATATTTGGTAGTGAAAGATATTAAAATGTCTTAAATCTTTTGCACGAGTTGACATTCAAGAGTCAGAGCCTTTTGTCACTAAAATAAATATTACATTGAAAGAAATATTGAAGTAAATGTTGCTGATAAGAGTATAGTAATGTCTTGTGATTCTACAGCCATTGTTCTTTTTTATAATATAGGCAAAACAGCCAGTAAGTGCATGTCATTCATATTTCACTGTCAGGAAAAAGCAGAAAACATATATTTAGCAGAAAATTGAATATAATATGAAATGTAACAGCAGATATTTCAGTATTTAGTGTGTCCACTTTGGTTACTTTTTCTGCTTCTCATGATCCAAGTAGTCCCAAACACATTCAGTGATGCAAGGTCTGGACTCCGGGGTGGTCGGTCCAGAGTTCTGAGGACACCACCAGCTTCTTTTTTTGAGCTTTCTAGCTTATTCTTATAGCTGGCAGAAGAGCCATTGCTGTTAATGTGATGTGGTGCCGTAAAGCGCTACACAGTTATCGCAAGAGGTTTCCTGCCTGCTCCTCTAATGTTTCCTAGCACTATAGCAGGTATTCTGGGCCCGGAGTGGCAATGACAGAGATGCCATTTTCTTTATTATAAGTCAGTATATCATCAAAACAATTTTGAAACAGTAATTTTATGTACTGCTTATCTGATGGGGACAGTTTCGGTGGTCTACCACATCTTGCAGGTGGTTGTTAGGAGTCTTTGTATTTTCTCTGTATCTTTTAATGATTTTTAAGCTTCAGTTTTGGAAACTTTTTCCAACTAATTTTCTTTTAACTTTCTTTTTCCTTATGCAGGTGATGTATCTTATATGTAATCTTCTCAGAAATATCTCCTGAAAAATTCATCTTTAATCTGCTAAATATTTTATCTATTTATTTATTTGGTTAGTTAGTTATCAGTCAGGTCACTTTGGTGCTTTGCGTTTAAAAACAAAGATCTTTTATAATACTCTGTAATGTTCATATGATACATGTGGTCCAGCTGATTATTATAATCTGCTGTAAGTATAGGTGCCGATATGGCTTCTATTGTTTTGTTGCACCATAAAAGAAGAAACCACACTTTGAGGGATGGTGTTGCTGTGATGGTGAGGAAACAGCAGAAGGCAGAACAGTTAAATTAAGCCAGGGGTCATCAATCTTATCTACAAAGGGCTTGTGCGACTGCATGTTTTCACTCAAACAATGCAAAAGCACATCCGATTACATGTGTTTAATCAGTTGGTCTCAATCTTCAAACACTTGATTTGTTGTTAAATAATAGTCATAGATTCATTTAAGATTATAAAAATAATGTCCCTCTTGTAGGTACGACCCTAAGACAGACATGTGGACGGCAGTAGCTCCGATGAGCGTCAGCAGGGATGCAGTTGGAGTGTGTTTGCTGGGGGACCGGCTCTATGCAGTTGGAGGGTACGACGGGCAGGTATACCTGAACACAGTGGAAGCTTATGACCCACAGACCAACGAGTGGACACAGGTTTGTCTGACCACTGTTATGCCTTTCTGCCATTTGCAGTTTGCCTGTGTGTCTGATTTTGTAATGTTTGTCTAGCGGTGTGACTGATTTTTTCTTGTGTCTCTCACACTGTCTGTCTGTTCAGTTATTTACTGTCTACTTGTGTGGCTGTTGTGTCTCTGATTTAATTTTGCCTTTGTGACAGCATGATGGTTGATTTTGTGTGTATAAAATTATAATAAAATAGTTTGCCATGTTGAAATATAGGGCTGCTTTAAAGGTATTCATCTAATTGCAAAAGCTTTGTTCGTAAATTCCGATTTTCTCAAGTGTCATATTGTGTAACCAACTATAAAGGAATTTTATTCAGACATACTTTTTTGTGATATTTTTTTTTTCATTGATTTCTGACAAATATTATCAAGTATAAAAAAGACAGATAAACTACTTCTTTTAAATACAGACACAAATTAATCAAAAAATAACTAAATAAACAAAATATACAGTTAGAGGATAAAAAGAGGCAAAAAATTGCCATGTTTGAGTCATGGTTAGGCTGATTGAGGTGGTGTGACCTCAGGAAAACATTTCTAAAGGCATCCAGCTGACCTGTAAGCCGTGTGAACGTTTCATGATGAATGGACCAATAGAAATGAACTAAAATTACTTTGAATAAAATCTCTTCATGTTTAAACACACAACAACGTTAAGAACATTTTTCTTTCTCCAGTGAGGTTACTGTTCTGGAGATACAGGGTTTTTAAGACAGTGGTCTTTGATTTTTTGTTGTCTTTCTCTCTGTCTGTCTGTCTGCCAGTCAATGAAATCGGTCCTCCTTTCCACCTCCATGTTGGCCTTTTACTGTGTATGCAGGTTTACAGAAGCCACCTCTGTCAGTTCCTCTACTTGTCTGTCTGTCATGTATCTCTTCCCACGCTGTCTCTGATCCTGTTATGATTTTACACTGTCTGCTTCCTCCCATTACTGAGCGTGTTTGGTATGCAAGAGCAGTAGTACTGTCATACTGATGCTAGCAATCTGGTCATGTTCTCCTTGTGCTACCTTAAACAGTCTTCTGGAAGTGTGTATATGTGTATGTGTGTGTGTATCATTGGAGTCAGTGTTACACAACGAGTACAGCGGCAACACGTGTTATTTGTAGATGTAGCTTTTTTTTTAGCATAAAATGATTTAATGAAAATGAAATTGATAGAACCCCAAGTACCAATGTTTTTTGACAACTATTTCACCTCAAGTTGTTACTGTAATATGCATTCATGGCTGTTTCTTCTCTTTAAAGGACACAAAAAAAACACAAAAGTGATTTGCATGCTAATAGCTCCCCCTTTTGGAGAAACATCAGATTGTCACACATGTTCTGCAAGTTCCAAAGCCAAATCCATGTGCGTTGCATCATATTAAAAACGTTTGGATATTCATAGCTTCCGATTTGCACCACTACTCGGTTGTAAAGGGTCTGGATTCCACAGTTAGCTGAGAGCGACTGAGCTATATTAGAAAATCCCCTCTCACTCCCATTTTAGCAAAAATATAAGAGCCATATTTTATACAGAAAAACAAGATCTGATTGTAAATGAACTTGGTGTGCTCTGTTGATTTAATTTTAGCACATTTTTATTTATTTTTATTATTCAGCAGGTATCTCTTTCAAAGCATCATCATTGGCTTACGTGTCAGTCATTGCCGATATATGATTACAGCGCTTTATCACCCAGGCCTAGTGTAGCTGTTTGAGTTTTAGAAGCTTATCGATAGGAGAGCATTTCATCATTATGCATGGCTGACAAAAAGAGAAAAAGGAGGTTAAAGAGAGAGAGAGAATGTGTGGGTGTGTGTGTGTGTGTGTGTGTGTGTGTGTGTGCACTTGTGATGGGGGTGTGTGTGTGTGATGGGTGTGTATATGTGTGTGTGGTGTGAACAGGCTTGTCAGTGAGTGTCACCCTTCCGTAATTGCGTTGAAGCTGCGGGCTGCAGAGTGCTAATACCAACTGTGGACGGAAATGAGTGTGTGTGTGTGTGTGTGTGTGTGTGTGTGTGTGAGTGTGAGTGTGTGTTTGTGTGTGTGTGAGTGTGTGCACTGCCCCATTCAGTTCAGTCAATTGTGGAATTTTTGCATATAACACACTCTCATATGAAACCATATGCACATAAACTCCATGTGTGTGTGTGTGTGTGTGTGTGTGTGTATTTATATATATACTCTTAAGACATTTTGACAATACATGATATGCATCATGATTTAATAAGTTGTAACAGACAAAATAGAGCCTGTACTGTCACATAATAAAAATACCACTACTAATAATAATAAAGTGAAATAAATTATTTTTATTCAGTTTTATGAACTAAACTGCACTAATTCCAATTAAACAGGCTGAATTATGCTCACTAAGTAATGAAACAAGTTTGCAGGGTATGCCTGTACTGACGATATCCACGATACAGTGAGAAAAGCGTATTGTGAGATAATTTATCACGATACTGATAAAAAATATTTGCCACACCTACATATACATACAGTGCCCTCCACAAATATTGGTACCCCTGGTAAACATGAGCTAAAGAGCTGTGTGATGAGTGTAATGATTAAAAGAAAAAAGAAGTCATGAAATAAATAATATCTTAAATCTATGTGTGCCACAATTGTTCACATCCCTCGAAATTCTTAAGAGTGAGATCTAAATGAAGTATATTTCCATTCATATTCTATGTTTTTAATTTCACCTGAGCGATTAGGAACAATTAAATGGTCAGCCATGACTTCCTGTATCACTGGGAAATATATATGAGATGAAACACAGGCCAAATGCTCTCGGTCATCTATCGCCATGAGAAAGACCAGAGAATACAGCAGTGATGTGCGACAAAAGGTTGCACAAACCAGGAAATGGCTGTCAGAAAATTCTTACCTTTTTTTAAATGTTAATTACTACTGTCAAGGCAATAATCAAGGATTTTAAAAACAACTGGAGATGTTAAAAAAAATCTGCTGGGAAGAGGACGTATGTCCATATTGACCCCACGCACAGTGAGGAGGATGGTTCGAGTGGACAAAGAATCTCAAAGGACTACAGATGCAGAACTCCGTCAAGTACCAGCAGAAATAAAATTAAAACCCAACGGCTTCAGCCAGGAAGCTTAAACTGGGCCATAGATCTTCCAGCAGGACAGTGATCCAAAGCACACCTTAAGATCAACATTAAAATGGTTGACTGACCACAGAATTAAGGTTTTCCCATGGCCACCCCAGTCCCCTGACCTAAACTCCGTAGAAAACCTGTGGGATGAGCTGAAGCAGTGTGGCCCTTGGGATCTGAAGGATCTGGAGAGGTTCTGTACAGAGCGATGGTCTCAGATCCTTTAATATGTGTTCTCCACTCTCATTAAGCATCATAGGAAAAGACTCAGAGCTGTTATCTTTGCAAAGGGAGGCTGCACAGAGTATTAAATGAAGGAGCGCCAACAGTTGTGGCACACATAGATTTAAGAAAAATATTTGAAAAATTTAGGTTTATTTGAATCATGTATTTCAAATAAAGGTTGTTAATATTTTGAATGAAAGATCAAAAGGATAAGCAGTAAAGAAGGTTTTTACAGCCTGTTTTGCTCATGTTTACCAGAGGTGCCAATATTTGTGGAGCACGCTGTATATATTACTTTTTTCAAAAGGAATTAGGTTATCAACATGTAAGGGTGGGTTACCATCCAAAAAATACAGATAAAAACACATACAGTTACTTGCGATGAGAAAAGAACTAAACAGTTCCTCAAAGAAGGGTCATAAAAAGAAGGAGTGTGTGCTACACTGGCTAATTTACGTCTCCTAGTACACTGCTGCTCTTTTTCTCCCTCATGCCCTTCTTCTGTAGATAAATACACTCACCCTGGACAACACTGCCCCCTAGTGTCTGGCTAATTAATTACCATGGTGACTGAAGCTGCATTTGTCACAGTAGAATGTTTGCCGATATTTTCTCCTTTGAAGCATCGTCCTTGAGTTAGCTGATCATCACCAATATCTGACTATGATCATCCAGGCTTTGTGTATGTGAAGTAAAGATTTCATCTAAGTAGGTCTAATTTGAACAGCTCGGCAGACAGAGTTAGGTTTTACTGATGGATTCACTTTAGACTGCAGCATACAAAGTAAAGAACATTCAACTTGAATGCCTGTTGCAAACATCACATGCTTCAGATGACCATGTTTAAGTGGGGCTGGCTTAAGCAGTATTAAACTTAGCTTGTGAAAGTGAATCTATGCTGTTACTAACATTGAAATTCCCATAGAAGTGCTAACAGAAGTTAGATGTAATTTTGTTTATTAAGCTTTAACAGAGCACTGCATTCTTGTTTTGACAAGAGGTGGTAATATGAACTTTTTAACTTTTGTATTGAAAATATTTCATATTTTGGTGCAAAAACTAGGGCCAGGTATTGAAAATCAGTACCTTTATGGTGTCGATAAATTATCGATCATGGTCGTACATATTGTTGGAAGAAATTGTTACAAGCGGGCTTCCATATATGGACTTCTTGTAATGACCCAGATGCAATGTTCTGAGTAAATACATGCATTAGTGCTTGTTTTTTGTTTATTGATGTTTGATATTTTATTTATTTGTTTGTGTGCTAGGTGGCGCCACTGTGCTTGGGCCGAGCTGGTGCCTGTGTGGTCGCCGTTAAACTGTGATGCTGCTGCTGCCTCCGCCTGTCGTCTCCATGGTGATCCTTGTACAGTAGCCTCATCTCACTCTCATTCACTGTGGAATCAGGAAGATGGAACAACATGACCAAGAGAACAAACACACACACACTAACTGGAATACTCTATTGGCCTTATGGGTTGGTTCTTAGGTTGTTTTTTCTGTTTTTATTCTGTTTTTCCTTTTTTTTGGGTCAATGAAAAAGTGTCAGTTAATTAACAGCCCATTTTCTTCTGTCCAGTTCAGTCACTGATTGCATCCTTCCGTTTAGTGAGCCTTTTTCTATGCACCATTCTATCTATATTTCCACAGACTGCTAGTTAGTGTGTCTCTCCTTGAGAAAAGCCTTCACTTCACTGCTCTTTTTTCTTTCTCTCTTCCCTCGCCTTCTGATTAGTTTTGCTGTGAGCAGTGTGCTTTTTTGTAATGCTCCTTTATTCTTGTGCCCTCATTTTTCTTTCCCTTTTTTCCAATTTGTATTGCTTGTTCAAGTGTGTGTGTGTGTGTGTGTGTGTCTGTTACTGCAGTGCAGCGGAAATTGAGAAATTGATTTAAAGCCCAGCAAATTAAAAGTGTGCTAGTGCAACACAGTAACACAGCCAAACATTCTTTCACTTTAAATGATGTGTCATCCGCAGAACAGCAGCAAGTGCAGAGATGTAGGCCTTGGACTGTATAGCTGTGGAATAGGAGGTGTAGAAAGGTGGATGTCTTTTTGTTGTTTTTTTGTCATTTTTTTTAGTTGTTAAATATATATTGGTTATAGTTCATCTGGTTGTCAGTGTATCTTAGTCTGTCTGTCAGATAGAGTGTGCAGAAATCCCTGGACACCGGCAAGGTCAGAACAACAGTCGAGATGCTGGGAGGGCTTATGAGCTGAGAATGATAATGCAGAGTGCTGGTGTTAAGAGAACAGCTCCACCTCTTTTTTCATCAGTTTTCTGCTTTCCTTGAAAGCCTATAAATAGCATTTACTTCATTAAAAGGCTGTCACTACAGATTATATTAGTATAATGAGATTAATTCTACAACTAATTAAGTATTCAGAGTTGTAGAAACAGGCTAAACAATGAAAACTGACATTACTGAACAATAACAAACCACGCAGACCCTTTCAGAGATTTGAAAATACTTTGAAGGAATACTCCAGCAATTTTCAGTCTAAGCTCTATCTTTTATATCTGTAGCATTAAGTTAATTACCACATACTGTAAAATCAGTGCATGTCCTTTACATAGTAAAAGAACTAAAAAAAACCTGTTGACTCAAAGTACACTTATAATAGAGGCCAGTGGGCAAATGCTTCCACTTTAAGCACCTTCCAATTGGCTTCTGTTGGAAGTGTCACTGGGTTTTCTGTTCTGTGCATTATTATTGTGAAAATTGCCAATCATTCACTGTCGATTCATTATGAAGGTACATTTTAAATGGAGTTAGCATGACAGCCAAACTGCATTAACAGCATTAACCAGCCCAAATCAGCACTATGGCCTGCTGCCTGATGTGTTTTCCCTGTAAAGTTTCAGGTCACATCCACTCAGCACACACAGAACTTAACCAGTGCAAAAGCCATTAAGATATTGCTATGGTAGCGATAAAAGAATGAGGGATAAAATGCAAAAAAGAGAGAGAGATGGCAGTCAGTGAGCCAAAAAATAAAAAGGGACTGTGTGAGCACTGGTTAAAAATAAATGAAAGACAGAAAATGAGGACAACAAAATGGGGCACTCTGGGATGTGTAGTTAAATATGACCTCATGATTTGAAGGACAGCATGTAAAAAAAAAAAAGCATGAAAAGACAGAGAATGGGAGGGAATTTCTTTCTGATGCATTTTCGTTGTATAGGTTTTTGATATGTGTTCTGCACAGCAGCACCGCTATTAATATATCAGCCTTAATGTGGGAGAAATATGAGTTACATGTTACAGACGCCAGTTTATTCACACATCACACTCTCAACTATACTGACCTGCTTGCAAATCAAAAGAAAAAATCAGAACACAAATGCATGTTTAAAATGAGACTGATTTTATGTTCTTTTATTTGGCAAACATTAAACCTCAACTCAGATGTTATGATTGTGCTTCCATGTTCGCTTCAGTGTTCAGAACTGCTGTCAAAATGACAGGAGAAAAAAAGTGTGTAACGGCTTTATGGAAATAACGCTCAGCCTAAATCTCCAACAAATTCACTTTAATTACAACAAACTAAGTCAAGACAAGTAAGAGCAGCCATAATCTCCAAACTCTAGAGGAAAAGATTATCAACATTAAAGCCTCACCAAGGCCAAAAACAGGGAATAAGAATAAGTTTTTTGCAAAATTGGTGTTTGAATAAAAAATAAGCATTGACTTCTGCATTTGTGTGAGGCTCTAGTAGTAGTAAAGTGCATTTGTATACAAATGATAATGCTAAAAATAAGTCTGACATTTTTGTGAGTTGTGCTTTCAGAACTCGCTTAAAGGAGATACGTACAACATTTTACACGTCAATATAGCAGCAAACAACTATTTTATATGTAAAGACATAGTGGCGTAATGGCGTGATGAGCAGCGAATGAAGTCACACCCCCTCTGTGTGTGCTGTAATTTGAGCTTCTCTGTTTTTTGTTTTTTTCGTAGCTGGTCTGGTTGCACATGCATTTTAGTCTTGCCCTGTGAAAACGTTGGCCATCCCGACGCAGTGACCGCCCACACTGCATTGTGTGTGCACCACTTAAGATTGAACAGGAAAATTCAAACAAGAAGCTGAGGTGCCTGAAAGTAGTCTAGCTGTTGTACCTTTTAAGGTAGAACGGGAAAATCCGAACAAGAAACTGACTTAAGCTTCATTGAGAGTTGAAATGCATGAAAAGGGATGAGGAGGTTGCTCCTGCTTAACTGGGGGGTAACATTAACTTATTTTTGCTGTTTCACAGAATCAATAGGTCAGTATTGTTTTGTCCTGTTTACTAATGTTTGTGATAGCAACTGGTTACCTTCACAGCAGAAATTGTAGCAACTGTTTGCTAACCCGCAACCAAGCTAACGTTAGTTACATTACTTTCTGTGTTGTTGTTTGCTCTAATGGTAAATCATGGTCTCCACAACGTTTGCGAATGGTTTTAAGGATCTAAAAAAGATCTAAAAAAGCGTTGTTTGCCTCAGCAATGCATGTCAATGAATTTGGGAGGCGAAGCTTCTGATGGAGCACTGAAAGGAGGGGTGTTTTGTTTTGCTTTGTTTTGTATCAACAGTCGTTCTCCAGGTTTGTGTACTGCGCCTTTAAAGCCTGAATTTGGCCCAAACGTAACCCTACTTAAAAATGTCAATAGGTGTGATGAGAATGCAAGAACATCCAGTAAGACAAGCTTACAAATGTTGGAAAAGGTGCTTCTCCTGCATGCTGCTGTTGCACTAACAAATCCCATGGGTAATTATGCTGGTGTTTTGTTTCCTGTTTAGTCATCTGATGAGATGAAGGTTAGGTGGTGGTTGCGAGATGATCTGTTTTCAAGAGGCTCATTTGAAAGAAACATAGTCAATCAAGTCGAGATGCTATTTTTAATGTTAGCCCTGTTCATGATGCTGAAATTTGGTACCATAGTGTATACTGTACTAGAATATATATTGCTCTGAGCATGTTACTTTCTCTAATCTTTTTGTTCATTTTCTCAACATTATTTTTTTAGACTGACATTGTTTTTGGCTCTAGATCCACCCGTTTTCCTCATTACTGTCTGTACATGCATGTGCATACAGTATTCCAGTTTCTGTTGGTGCATCTCTGTGTGTGTGTGTGTGTGTGTGTGTGTGTGTTAATAACATTGCATCAGCACTGCTTCAAGACTCAAAGGAGGCAGATTCAGTGGCTTGACTGACAGATTCATATCCCCAGACATATTTAAGTTTTACTGCTGAAAAAAAGAACAGAACCATCAGCTTCAGGCAAACAGAAATGAAAAAATTAGAACAGCTGCAGAGAAGCAGAATACATCAGAGTGAGTGGTGTACAGTGTGTTTTGCACTAGCTGCTGGGTCTTCTTTAAAGATCATAGGTACAGAGCCAAACAGACTTGGGCTGCATTCAGTCTGCAGGTAAATGACTATGTTCACATTACCAGGCTGAAGTGGCACAGATCAGATTTTTTGCCTTAATGTGAAACATAAATGAATTTTTCAGATCTCTGTGGACACACAAATCTGATCATTTCAAAACTGATCTTAACCACTTTCATATGTGGTCCTTGATCAGATGCATAACTGATTCTTGGCTATGCAACCATAATGAGAATAGATTGGAATTCATGTGTCTTTTTTTAGTCCATCATTCAGCGTTAGCATTCAGTGCCAGTAAAAGCTGCAAAAGCAAAGCATCTGACTCTTTTTCACCTTCATCATGCTCTAATAACGAACAGCTGAGTAGTGTTTAGAGCAAGTTACCATGCATTAAAGAGGTCCAAATCAGAATTAGAAGTGTCAGATTCCATGTAATTTTACACAAAAAAAAACAAATTTGGGCCCTTTTACCTGCCGTGTGATTGTAGCTTTGTAGGCCCTGTTCATACCTGGTATTAACATCCGTTTTGAGTGAACTGATCATAAGTGATGATCAGTTGGCATTTCCTCATGTCCTCAGTGTGTCTCCAGTCGCCACATGTGATCGGATTTTGTGACTAGAGGAAGGGAACCACGCCCCTTTCCCACGTCCTTGTTCATGTATCTGTATAGGCTGTTACCTATGTTTAGGTCACATGGATTGCTAATGCAACATACAGAAGAAGAGATGAAGGAAGTAACCTAATCTCTGCATTGATGAGGCCGTTGATTAGGTGGTCCTTCATTGCTGTTGGGACACATCAAGACGCTAAAGCGTTCACACTACAAATATTAGGTGGTTATATCGGTCCCTGAAAACCTCCAAAGGGTGGTTTGAATGATCGGATCACAGTGTGTCTCTAAGTATTGTGTATTGCATATTGGACCCTATTCACACCTCAGTTTACAGCTATCTCCTTAATATTGGATCTACATGTGAACGCCAGGTTTGAAAGGAGCTTAAGTGTCATCATTCTTACAAAGCTCTCAGAAGTTCTCACACACTGCACAGAATGTTAGATGTGCACACACACTTCCACACATTGTGTCTGTACAGTCTGTATAGGTTGCTGTTATTTTGCACTATACGATAACCTCTAAAATCAGCCATACTTCATCTATGAAACCAATGTAGAGTTTCAGCTGCATTGTATAGCCTATACACAAATAAAAGTAAAACACCAGTTCATTTATATATACAAGTAGAAAACACAAAACCAATTAAAAGAGACTCTTTATGTCAGGCCTGTGAAGTATATATAAAGATGTGTACAGCTTGTAGAAAAGTGAAAGGTACTGTTTTTTTTTTTCTTTAAACAGATCAGGACACTGTTTTGTAGTGTTGAAAACAGTACATGTACACAGTTCTTGTATAATACATCTACACTTACTCTGTGGTTAAATGTTGTGATTTTATAAGAGTATAAAAGTAGAAACATAATATTATGAGACTTAACACAGCAGGTGTAAAAATGATTCCGTTGGCGGTGGCGAGTCAGAAATGAACTTTTAATGTACACATCGCTGTTTTTTTATTTAAAGCTACAGTTTACAGTGTTTTTGAGAGCCAGAGTTGTTTCAGTCCATGGCACATTGCCTAGTCCAGCAAGTTTTGGAGCATCACTTTGAACGGTCTCTGGACATTCCATCTCCAACATGCTGGACACTACTTAATGCCCCAGTCGGGTTTTTGTTTTCTGTTTTTGTTGTTTTTTTATGATGTATGCAGAATAAACAGGGTGACACAATTTCTTTTGAATCTAAAATCATCATTATGGGTTATAAGCTTCATCTCATCTCAGTCATATTCGTCCAGGATAAGAGTTTATACAGTTAACTGTGTATATAATTCAAGTATTATTCAATTTATACAGATAAGTTCCACTCATCGGCCCATATTTATTAAAGTAAGAACAATGATCTAAGATCTAGTTTTATCAGTTCATCAGTGAGTATTATATACAAGCTGTGTGCTCCAGATCAGCATTCTTACTCTTTATTAAGTGTAATAAATATGGGCCACTGTGTGGAGAGTTGTATGGGGTAGGGGGGATTTCATGAAGGTGCCTGTCTTCTTTTGTATTATTATTATTATTATTATTATTATTATTATTGTCCTCTTAAATGTTTAATTTCTTTACATTCCATAAATCTGTGTGCTGATGAGCTGTAAATACAATTTTGTATTAAAATATAAAAGATACCCTAGTTTTGTCACACGCCAGTTGTTTATTTGTCTGTCTGTGTGCATGTGTGTCTTTGTCGGTTCATTCATTTAAAAATAAGTACTATAATAACAAATTTAGTTTTATTTGTTTGCACTTAAATTCAGAATGGCTTTTTTCTGTTTAAAATAGGGGGAAAAAAAAGTCTTTGTCCATCTCGGGGAAAACAAAAAACTTAGTTTGCTTGATGACATGCTATTGATATAATAATTGACCCTTAGCAAAATTGTGATAAGTCCTGCCTTCTGTAGTTACTGCTGTGTGTCCATCAAACATTCAGCTCAGGCTACCTGGTAGAATCCATAGCGCTTGTGCTTACAGACTAAAATGTTTGGTAGCACAAAGTGTAGAAGCACTCAGGAGTACATACACCCA